CCGAGACGGCGAGGTAAATGAAGAGGTGCTCCCTAGGCTCGGGTTTTGAGAGTAAGGGTGGTGATGAAAAGTATGCTTTCAATTCTTGCAGTGCTTGTACGCATTTGGGAGTCCATTCGAGGCCGTTATCCTTTTTTAGCATGCTAAAGAACCTGTGACATCAATCGGATGACCGCGAGATGAATATGGATAGGGCGGCAATTCGACCGGTCAATCTCTGGACTTGCTTCTTAGTAGTCAACTGCTCTGGTATCCCGTTGATAGCCTTAATTTGATCTAGGATTACCTCGATCCCTCGTTGTGATACCAAGAAACCCAAAACAATTCCCGAGGCTACGTCAAATGCGCATTTCTCGGGGTTTTGTTTCATTCTGTACTTTCTTAGTATGTCGAAAGCTTCCTTTAGGTGGTCTCTATGATCCTCTGCCTTCACAGACTTGAACAACATGTCGTCGATATATAGCTCCATGGTTTTGTCCAGTTGATCTTTGAACATTTTTTTACCAACCTAAGATAGGTAGCCCCTGTGTTCTTCAATTCGAATGGCATGATCCTATAACAATATGTCCCCTTGTGAGTGATGAATGTAATTTTCTCTTAGTCTTCTTCCTCCATGAGTATTTGGTTGTAACCTGAGTAGAAGTCCAAAAAACTTAACAGCTCGTGCCTTGTCGTTGTGTCGATGAGTTGGTCGATATGTGGCAACGGGAATGAATCTTTCGGTCATGCTTTGTTCAGATGTATGAAGTCCACACGCATCCTCAATTCCCCGCTTTTCTTTTTATCCATCACTACATTGGCAATCTATTTGGGGTACTTCAATTCCATGATAGAGCCGTTTGCCAATAACTTTTCTACTTCCTCGTGGACGGCCTCATTGATGGTAGGGTTTAACTTTTGTCGGACCTGCCTTACCGAGGGTAGAAGGGGTCGACGTTCAGTTTGTGTGTGGCGATCTCTTTGGGCATGCCTGGCATATCTGCATGACTAAAGGCAAACAAATTTGCGTTAATTATTAATAATTAACTAAATTACCTAGTTCTCGGAGTTTGCAGCCAATGTAGGCCTTTTTGTTGAGGTCGCTATGATCTAGTTGGATGGGGTCGAGGTCTTCTATGGTTGATTCTGTGGCTTCGACCGTCTCGGGATCCATAATGACTTCCTTGGCTTCACTTTGTCGCGACCTCGACCTTACTGATCGCTATGCTCTTTTTTCCTTATCTTTCTTTTGTTGAATTGTTGTGTTGTCCATGGCGATTCGGTATCACTCCTAGGATGTGCGTTGTTCCCCTCTTATGTTGAATATTCCCCAAGGTGTTGGGAATTTTATCACTTGGTATAAGCTGGGGGGGATGGCTCTCATGGGGTGTATCCATGGTCGTCCCACGATGACGTTGTATACGGTCTTATGGTCCATGATATGAAATGTTGTCTTTAGGGTTACTCCACCAGCGAGAACGGGGAGTGTGATTTCCCCCGAAATCCATTCAATTGCATTGTTAAAATAGGTCAGCGTGATGCAATGTGGCACTATCTTATCCTCAAGTCTTATCTGTGTGAGGACTCAGGGATGGATGATGCATGCTCCACTTCCGTCATCTACCATAATTCTCTTAACATTAGTATCTATGATTCGTAAAGTAATGACAAGTGCTTCATTGTGAGGGAAAGTTAAATTGTCGGCATCCGACTCATCGAAGATGATACTTTCTTCAAGTCCATCATACCATTCATGGGTGATCGGTCTTTTTAGCTTATGGGTGGCATTGAACTTGATGTCGTTGATAGAGGCGTCGTTGCTGCCACCAATGATCATATTGATAGTACGAGCTAGTGAAGGGGGCTATGGCGGGCGTGGATGTTCTCGACCCCTTGCTAAGGTGTTCCTGCCTTTGTTGTTGAGTAGTTCTTTAAGGTGCCTTTGTTGTAGAAAGTTTGCTACCTCTAGTCTTAGGGCGATGCAGTCTTCTGTTTTGTGCCCACGTTCTTGGTGGAACTCGTGAAGGGCATCAGTTTCCTAGTGCTTGAGTCAGACCTTATCTTTGGTGGCCATTTTACCTTCATTCTGACCTTCTCAAGAGCGTAGATCACCATTGTAGGCGAAACACAAAAATTGTGAGCTGATAACAAAGGGGGAATACCTCTATCATTTCTGTGAGTTCCTGATCTCGGCCTAGACCGGCCATCTTCATAACTAAAGGAGGCAACGGGTGCCCTAACATAGGACTGGTTTCGTTCCTTGCCCAGCCGCAATACTGGGTGGTCTCTCCTTATATTATCCCTGCATTCTTTCTTGGGATCGAATTGTACCGAGGTAAGTCATCGAGTTGTTCTATTGAGTTCGTTGTCATCCGCTTTGACCTTGACACAGTAACCATTATAGATTTTATCCCAAGTGGCCGGTGGATATTTCATTAACCGACTCAGTAGCTTTCTGGTCGCCCTCGAACCCTCTCTGCTCAACCCATTCTGAAAGGCTATGACGGCCATCCCTTCGAAAACATTTGGTAAGGTCATCCTCACCTTGTTGAACCGGGCGAGGAAGTCTCTCAGTCCCTCTCTTGGGGATTGCTTAATGGCAAAGATGTCATTTACTCTCGTTTCAGCTTTTTGGGCCCCAACATGTGCCGTTACGAACTTGTCAGTCATCTCTTCGAATGTTTCTATGGAACGGGCTGGTAACTATGAATACCATATCAGTGCCCCTCTTGTGAGGCTTTCGCCAAATATTTTCAGCAAGATGGAGGACAACTGCTCTTTGGTGAGGTCGCTGCCTTTCACAGCGGTAACGTAGTGAGTCATATGATCTTCGAGGTTGGTCATCTTATCATAGATTCTGAGATATGGGGGCATCTTGAAGGTCTCTGGTATGGCAGGTGGAGTCGCTTCCTCACTATACAACTGTTCTACGAACCTACCGGCGTCCCTTTTTGGCAGCAATTTGGGGGCGCCGGGTATTTTGTCTACACATTCCTAGTGCTCTTTCATTTGGTCTCTAAGTGCCTTGTTCTCGTTTTCCATTTCTTTCATTATTTTCAGCATGGCGGCGAGGATGCTGTCACCTGCATTGTCAGTAACATTATGAGTTTTACCTGAAGTCGGAGGGTCTGGTTGGTTGTCATGTTCGTTCCCGCATTGTATTGCATCGACTCTCATGGTTTCTGTGGTCGTGCATGGAGCTTGTTTACTGAGCACGCTGAGTAGAGTATCAGTTAGCCATGCTTTGAGGAGCTTTTTCATAGCGGGTGGCACCCCCTCTCACGTGGACGTGGAGGCCCATTTCCCTTTTGGTTTTGTTGTGTTGCAGAAAGGTGGAGGTGACCTTTCTAGTCTGGGAGAGGTCGTGGGCGTTATCCCCTCCTCATGGGTGTCATAGCCTTCGTTGATAACATTCATGAGGTTGAGGGGAACATTATGTGCCTCCTTGGTCCCGTTTCCTTGGTTACCTGCCATGGAGACTTGTGTACGCACGGAGAAAAGAGATAAACTTGGTGGTTTGTTAGGTTAACAAGTCACGTGAGTTATGGATTTAATGGAAACTAAAACATTGGCTGAGAAAATCCCCACAAACGGCGCCAAACTGTCTTACCCAAAATTTAGATATAGGTTTAAACAATTAGATTTTCTAATAAAATAAGGTTAATCTTAGCCAATATTAATATCCAAAAGATAGATGAACTGATTTTGTAGCGAGATATCATGGATATTATTTGAGTAGCAATAAATGGCGATAATAACGCTATATTCAATGATCCAAAAATAAATGAGGTAGCATTAAATAATAGTAAATAGCAATGAATGGCATTTATGTAAATAAATGCATATGAGTCACCCGAAAAAAAGATGAGATTCTTCAATATTCTTTCTGACAAAGATAAATGATTGATAAGACTTTGAATATCTAGATTCTCCTTCGATCGTGGGAGAAAAGATAGATAAAGTTCTGAAGAAAAGGTATATTTGTATGTGTGTGATAAAGCAAGAATCTTCAAAGAATATCAATTTGTTGTTTTTTTACAACGAGTGTCTAATCCCCTCTACAATCCTCTCTCTTTCTCTTTATAAGGGCACATGGGCCAAAAAAAAATCCTAATAGTATAGATGGGAAGAATATTCCTAGAATATTCTCTGTAAGGTCTTATTTCTAAAACTAGTTGTTACTGCTCTGCTAAAGGGAGTACTCGTCCTTGTCCTCTGTTGAGTCAACTCGCCTTCGTCCTCTATTAAAACCAAATCGTGACGCGTGGCAGCCGACTTTCTTAAAGTTGATTTGGCTCACATATAATTATGATAATTTTTAGCCCACACAATATAATGTATGTATAATTTATATATATTAAGTGTATAATCGTGTGCAATTAGCGTATAATCTATATGTACCGACTAGAAATAAATAAATAAATAAATAGTACATTCGGTCGACTTATATAAAGATTCGGCCTGACAAGTGAGGGTTGCTCAAGTAGCTCCAATCTTTTAGATTGTAGGTTCGAGTCAGGAAGGGAACAAAGTGGGGAGCTCCCTTGTAAGGGTAAAAAAAAAAGTGTAAAGATCCCAAAAAAAGTTAAAGAAATTGGTAAGTAATAGAACGTGTAGTGTGACATAAATGTGGGTTTATCGTGTTGATAACATGACAAAGCTGACTTTGAAATTTTATCTTATTATGTGATAGCTTGGTAATTAATTTTTATGCTAGACTGAAGAAATTTGGTGATTTTCATTATTATATTATATAATAAATACAGGATAGTTGATGTACGTTTTGGTTACAAAATATAATCTTGGGACGTTGCTTACTCTGGAATAACTGGAGCATGCTCAATTTGAGAAAATTGGATCAATTAACTAAAAACATGCTGAAGTCTTTGAGTTTGTTCTGTAAAATAGGACATTTGATGTCTAGTAAACAACTAGCTATTCATGTTAACTCTAGTTTTCTCTTCCGGGAAAGACGATATATAAAACGAATAATTTCACAGCTTAATGTGAAAGCCAATTTATAAGCAATTCTCCGCATAGTTAATAATTTCTTTTAAGTTGCCAAGCTGAAACCATGAATACATCTAATTTTTCGCATAAAAAACTTTATGCTCTTTAAACTTCAACCAACACAACAACTTTATCCAGTACAAAATCAAGAAAGGAACATATAATCCACCGGAGGATATTACCAACTCTTTTGGCCTAAATAACCTAATAACATTGACTTAAACATAAAAACTGCGACAGTTATAGGCGTTGTACAACAGCTAATCCTGCTCCAGTAAAGTACTAGAAAATGTGCCTCATCATTTTCCTTTGGATTCAATCACCCTCTTGGCAAATGATGGCAAACAGAATGATGCTTTGTGAAGCTGGGGAGGAAAAACAAATAGGAAAAAAATAGCAAAAGTGAGTAACAAATCAAAAGTAGAAGTGTTAAGAGTAATGAAGACAGGCATATAGCATTTTAAAAAATGACAACCAAGGAACAGAATGACAGCATACCTCAGAGTTGTAAAACTTCAAAGGTCCAAGAGTTTTGGTATGGCTGTCATCGTCGTCATCGATGGGGTTAATTGGGTTCTTGAAATCAACTGCAGGTCCCTCAGTAGAGCAGAGCATGAAACCAATCATACCACTGCAATTAATACAAGCCAAACCACCCATATTAGAATCAAACCCAGTATGCTAACAGCAAGAACATGAAGAATTATAAACTATAAATATGCTTCAATCAAAAACTAGTTAAAAGTCAGCAGCATGCAACTCAAAGAAAGAATTTATACCCATAACAACTATGCATCAACGCAAAGCAACTTGGGATTGACTATATGAATTCTCACTGACATGTCGAACCATTTAAGCTCATTTAAGATCCATATAATACAAAATTAGAATAAAAATGAAAAGTACTAGAAGTTCTCGATATTCTCTACTGGCACATAAATCTGTCAGAACTAAAAGACTCCTAGAAAACATAGAACTTATAGTAAATGTAATAGTATGACTAAAATGTATTCTCAACTAACTAGTATTGCATGTATAGATCTTTCACTTCCATTGGGCCATATGCTAGGTCTGTATGGATTCCAAAAGATAGTAGGTCTTTTGAGACAACCTTTCATATAAGATATAAGTAAGAACATAATGAGAGATGAGCAATAAAGCGTGGATAGCAAAATATTCATGTATATTAGGATATCTCAGAATCAAAACATAGAAGTGCACCTTGGATAAGTAGGAACTGTAGTCCATGCATAGTTAACTGAGCCTTTGAAGATTTGGCGGCAATTGGCAACGATTTCTTCAATTATGTGCATGTGAAGCCATATACTCTCAGCCTGTGTAGATACAACCCCTCCTGGACGCAGAGCTCTTGCTATAGAATCAAAGAAAGGCTTTTCGAACAACTCTTGTGCTGGACCTGAAGTTAAAAGAGTGATTGTTTGGGGGCTGAAATGACACGAAATAGGTAGTACTCGAGCAATGACATGATAGATAGATTACCTATAGGGTCAGATGAATCCACTATGACAGCATCGTAAGTTCCTGCAGCAACATTTTTCAAAAATGCAACTCCTGCAGAAACAGGAGGAAAAAGGAAATGCCAAGAACATATGTTAACAAGTGAACAAAAATGAGAACCAACAGAAAAGTTGAGAAGATAACAAAAATTTATTGATCATACCATCACCAATGTGGAGATTAACACGTGGATCCTCGTATCCTACAGCTACATCTGGGAAAAATTGTTTAGAAACCTGTCGGAAGGGGGAAAAAAATACTTAGTTTCAACATTGCATTACATTTTGCATCAAGGAGCTTAGAGCTGGTAAGTTACAACTGAGATGTCCCAAACACAACATACATTAATTAGCACATTAAAACCTTTAAGTGACAAGTAATACACAGGAAGGGATAAAATCTGGCAGCAGTTCCTGACTAAGATCAAGTATGCCATAAGACACTGCTAATACATGTAATTAGAAGAATCAACATGTTCCTCTACCCTTAGTAAAGAATAAAAATGTCAATAGTGACCAAAAATGTAAATAAGGTACCATTTTTATGAATGAGCATGTACCTCAACTACCATCTTGTCAATCTCACATATGTCAATCTGCTCGACAGAAGAATGACGTGACACCTCACGCAAGACACCACCATCTCCTCCTCCAATAACCAGCACCTGAGGGAAGACAATCAGCTTAAAGTTGGCAAATAAGTTAAAGAGACAAATGGTATAAATAGCTTTAGGACACTATAGCCCTGCAAAAACTGCTCGGTTCATACATAATTCACAAAAAATACACATTTGATATAATCTCTGCTAAAATATAGTAGGGGTAAGCAAACAAAGGAAATATGAAGGTACTTTTAACAAATTACACAAACTGGAAAACAAATATGGATAAGATTCTTAATCTACGGGCTTGATTAGCAATGTGTCATAAGACTTCAAACATTAAATGGTAAATGATGCAAAAAGAACATAAAATTGTACAGACCTTTTTGGGATTTGGAATTGAACAAAGAGGAAGATGAGCGATCATCTCTTGGTAAGCACATTCATCCCTCTCTGTGAGTTGAATCACACCATCCAAAACAAGCACCTTTCCATAAGTTGATGACTGCACCAACAAACAAAATCAAACAAAAATGAGCAGCAGCACATAGTAAAGCACCCATGCATCATAAAAGTTAGAGAAGAGACTAAAACGTTTGTAGATCAACAAAATACCTGAAAAACCATGACATTCTGGTAATCAGACTTCCCTTGAAACAATATCTTCTCAACCTTCAACGAGTGTGCTTCCCCTGCATAATTCCTTCCCTGTCAGTGACATCTTCCTTTTTGCTCTCTCAATTACAAGAATTCACTGGACACTCAAAGGAAAAATCTTTGCAGAATCCTCAATCCCAAACAAAAAAATTTCAAGAAAATGTACAAGCCAAATCTTATTTGTGAATTTCTCAGCTAAAATCGAACTCCCCACACCCGCAAAAAAGACATTTACTAAACCAAAAATCCACCATACAAAACAAGGCAGAAAGCAACTGCAAACCATCAAAAGTAGGTCCATAAACTTTGATAGACACCACCACAAGCATTCACGTACTAAACCCACCAAGAATCGCCAAAAAGACACAAAACTTAGATACCCAAATGCATAATAAAAGTACCCATATCAGATAAAAGCAAACTTTAATACCCCCAGTCATTAAAGTAATTAACCCCAAAAATCCCACCAAAAACAGAACATAAACAGAAACCAAGTGCAACCCAATTACAAAAAGGTACACTCTTGAATGCCCAAATGCCGAAAATCAAAGTAAGCTTTATAGGGGAAAACACAGATGATGCAGAAACAAACCTGGCCGAAAACCCACCAAAAAAACAGAACATAGAAAGAGAAACAAAGTGCAATCCGATTGCCAAAAAGTAAAATCTTGGATACCCAAATGCATAAAATCAAAGCAAACTCTACATAGAAAGCAGAGATGATGAATCAAAGAACAAACCAGGCCAAAGGGGGCTAATCTCAGAGAACCAGCCAGGAAGAACAGAAGAGATATAAGGAGACTCATTGGTGCAACCGTTGTCGTTGTTGTGGTTGGCTGCTTCCATCTCTTCCTGTTGTTGTTCCTCTTCTCTTGGTCTCTTCACAGGCAATACAAATGCTGCACACTCCTCTGCCATCACAAAACCCTCCTCTATTTATAGGGCCCTAAACGAAACAGGAAGTCTTCTACTTTACTTTTAACAGCACAACAATAGTTACCACAAATCTCAGGACTCTTCAGTCTGAAAATGTATAGCGTGAAAAGATGAAATCTGTTAAGGATTGGTTGTCTATTTGCTTTAGACTTGCGGTGAAAATTGTAATTTCTCCTTTTATTATTTTAGTTTTTTTTAAAGGTATTGGCTATTTGTGCGGTTGAAACTTGAAAAAACTTAGTCGCACCGAATACTTAATTAACTAAACAATATCAATTTATCATGATTAAATAATTTATAAGAATATATATTAATTAATTATTATAATTAAGTGAGAAAAGTCTTTCTGCAAATGCATGTCATGTATCTATTGATTTTGTGTAAAGTTAATAGTCTATTTGGCCAAGCTTCTCAAGAGGCTAGAAGTGTTTTTTTTTTTCAAAAATACTTTTTTTTTTCTTAACTTAAAGTGTTTGGCCAAGCTTTTTTGGAGGAAAAAAGTGCTTTTGGGAAGCAGAAGCAGTTTCTGAGAAACAGAAAAAAGTACCTTCTTCCCAAAAGTAGAAGCAGAAGCAGTTTTGATTTTTCTTCTTACCAAGAATACCTTTAACAAAATATAGTTTATACCAAAATAACCGTTAAACCTAATACTTAGGATATTAATATTTATTATTTTTAGGATAGCTTTTTAATATATAGTGACTTTAGGAGTGAATGCTTTTATATTTGTTGAATGATTTTTAATATATTTAACTTATATTAAAAGTATTAAGTACTTTTAAATTTATTTTCATATTTTACTTAAATAAAATAAAAAGATTTAATTATTGCTTGTAATAATAAATTTTTGAGATTATTTATTTACTTATAATATTAACTATTAAGTAAATATATTCATGTCCTTATTCGTAATTTGATACTTAAAAGCACTTTCTAAAAAACTTGGCCAAACACAAATTATTGATCAAAAGTACTTTTCAGAGTGATTAGCCAAATACAAACTGCTTCTGTCCAAAAGTACTTTTTTCAAAAGCACTTCTCAAAATAAACTGATTTTTCCAGTTTGGCCAAACATGCTATAAGGTGGAAGATAGCAAATATCACGTGGAATAGTTAAAGTGTGTGTAAATTAGTTGGAATACCACTTTTATAAATAAAATAAAAAGAGATCTAAATTTAGGCCTCATTTGATTTTATTAAAATTAAAACGTCTGAATTTGAATACATATTTGAATATTAATATGTGTATTAAGATTAAAACGATTGAATCTGAATATTAAGATGTTATACTAAGATCCGAATATTGACTAATTAAGATTGTTTATTTTCTCTATATTTATATGTGTAAAACTTTCTTTATTTTAATATTAATAAGTATAAATTCAAATTAAATAATCTAATACTATATTAATAAAATATTTTTTAATTATATTGTAGTTGGTGGAGATATGGCTAAATGTGGTAATTGTGGGTGCCGAGTGGGTAGTGGCTGGTGGTGGTGTTGGTTGATAGTCATGATTATGGGTAGTGAATGACAGTAATAGTTAATTGTGGCGGTGACTGATAACGGTGATTCGTGATATATAGTGATGGTTGTGGTGATTGGTGATTGTTGTAATAATGGTGGTTGGAAGTGATGGATGATAATGATGGCTGGTGGTAGTGACAAATGACATTCGTGCTTGGCAACGATGGTGGTTACGGGTGATGATGATGGTAATAGTGGTGGATAGTGGGTGATTGTAGTCTATAATAGTGGAGGGCGTCGATAGCAGTGGTGATGATGTTTAATGGTGAAAGTGTAGGAGCAATAGTGAAATATTTTTTTTAAAATAAATTCTTGAATGTATAACATCTTAATGAGGTTAAAACTCTGTTACAGACTCATTAAGTGGTTGTAAAATTAAAAAAATAAGTAGACGTAATAGTTAAGATATGAACGATTAAGATTCAGATCTAAAAAATAAACGCACTTAATGATTGAGATCTGAAGTATTGAAATTCATATCAAACAAATAAGGCCATTAATGCATGGGTTTTGTGCGTGATAAACAATGTTAGTATGTGACAGTTTGGACAAAATCTGATTGAAATTAACAAAAAATTTTGAAATTAAACTTAACAAAGAATATTGATTATTACTTAAAAAAATTCATTTTTAAGAATTGCAAAAATTCTTAAATTGGAAATACTTTAACGTTAATTATTTTCACGGAGAGGAGGCTTGATTGCAATTTGCAAGTGTGAAATGTGATTATTGTAAAATGATGGGAGGCTTTTCCAGCTCAACTAGGGGTTTACGTGTTTTTACTAGGTATCAACTTTTGGTCAAAAGATTGGGCCCCACTAAATTCCCCAACAACCCCTTGCCAAAAAAAAAAGGACAAAAAAGAAAAAGAAATAAAGGAGCATCTTTTTCAGAATATCAAGGAGATTGCATCTTCTTCTACCTACCACTTCACATTTTTCACAAGCCCATAACTTTAGGCACTTTATTTGCAGAATGAGTTCATGCGGTGTGTACTGACTACTGAGTTTAACAAAAGGTTGTGGCAGAATAAAATCATAAATTACTCATTCATTCTTACTTAGAAATTTAGAGTTCGAGCTTTATGAAAGAAACTTTTTCTAATCGGGAGAGCTTTACCTTCAAAATGAAATTTTTCTAACACAAATTCGAATTAGCTGGTCCAAAAGAGATATTGCACATGAGATGAAAAAACAAAAACATTATAATACTAAAATATATAATAGTCTGTGGTAAGCGTAATATAATATCCTAAAAACAACTATAACTAATAATAATAACTAATAATAAAACAATCAATGACGTACGTAAAAAATTTCGTAAGCTAGTGTCCATATTTGAAAAGACGAACAAATGAATAAATTATTGTAACGGCAAGCGATGGCATTTTTTATATTTATACCTAATATTTTAATTTTATTTATTATTTATACATACATATTACGAAAAAAACTCTGATGAAGTGATGTCAAGCAAGATTTATAACTCGTATAACTAATTAAATTGCATTAATAAGGTAAAAATTAGCGAGAATGTTATGAAGATTTTAATAATTCATACCCCACCTGCCACATACCAAAGAAAAGAGAAATATCCCAATTCCCACCTAACGCATATCCGTATTATTTATCCTAACATGTTGACTACATTCGTACTAGTATTTGATAAGTCGTCTAACTTTGTTTCGTCACTTAGTAGGAGTATTAGTTTTTGCATAGTACTGTGCGTTCCTCTGTTTGGACTTTGGATCCCAAGCTCTTCGTTCTTTTCTTCCTTTCCTTTTCTTTAGTTGTGCATAAAATAGGGTACTCTAGAATAGTGTCTATTTTTACTTTCAAATATTGTTGCCTCAACTTGCAAAGAATTAGATTCTGTAATAGGTTTAATCAAATAAAGGGTTGTTATTGAATTACTTTGCAACATACAAATTCAGAAGGTGAGACTAACCAAATTCACAATGATTTAGTAGATGATTAAACATGGATATTTTTTTTGGTTACGCCGGTTATTGATTTTATTATGCTTTACGCCCTGACACGCGCCTAGGGTTAAAGTAGCCATTTTGCTATTTGTGCATTTGGCCGTTCAAGACTGTCGAGAACCAAAATATGATTTTTGGACTCAAAGAATCAAAATATATGGGCAAAAAAAACTGGCCACCATAATAAGTATAGCGCGGTATTTCACCACGATATACCTTAACAACACGTTTGTCCGTTATGGTATAGCGCGGTGCATAACCGCGTTATACTTAATTATTGGGCCCACCAATAATTCTTCTGATATTAACTGACACACCAGTAATTCAACAGGGTATAACGCGATGAATTACCGTGCTTTACGTAAAATTTGGGCTCCCTGTACTTAGTTGGCCGACCAATAATTCTACCGGGTATAGCGCGCATATTTAAGGCGCTATACATCAATTTTTTCCTTATTTAAAGAGTTTCAGGAGGATTTTGTAAAAATCCATTCAGAATCTTTCAAGTCTTCCGAAATATTTGTTCGTTAAGTTATTTTGCATTTTGTCATAATGTCTGAAAAATGAAGAATTAGGGTTTCATTATATTGGGGAGGGGGTGAGGTTGTGGTGGAGAATAACTCAGTACACTATAGTTGTTCGCCACAGTGTCATATTAAGTTGTCACTTACAATGGAGTACGATATATTGGTATCATTGTTATGTAAAAAATTGAGTGTGAACAAACGTTCGGTGAATATTAAAGTAACCAGAAGATATCCGTACTTTGTTACTCCGCAAGGGGTTGCTTATTATGCTGAGTTTAACATCGAAAACGATGAAACTCTCAGATATTTTTTGAGGACTCTGGATGTAAAAATATTGAAAATGTATGTCAAGGCTGAAGACATTCGCAATAATAAGGTTTCACAAAGTAGGGATATCCCTCAATCATCGGGTGGTTATTTTGGAGCAGTTTTAGCCGAACAGGTTTTGGATGAAAGAGTTTGGCCTGATCTAAACTTATCTCCACGGGCGAATGAGGAGCAAGGAAATAATTTCTTCCATAGTTTACATAATTCACAAGTCGAGTGGTAAACTTTAATTTTCCTTTGTGTTACGATGTTTATTTTTATGTAATGAATTTGTATTAACACTCATATATTCTACAGGGGGTACCGGCCAGATATGAATTTTACAAGTTATAAACCAACGCCCAGTTGGAATATGCCTAGTTTTAGTATGTTGGATCATGGTGGTCCATCCGGGAGTCATCATCAATAGGATAATGCCCATCATGGGATATCAACACATTATGATTTGTAAGTGAAGTGATAAAGCTATATGTAAATTTTGGATCAATTTGATAAACTCATTATTTTATTGGTTGTGCAGTGAAAACGAGCAACTTGAAGGTCATGTCCTTACTCAATTACCCGAAGACGACGTATTTAATCGGGATCTAGCTAATGCGTAGAGTCAGGAAGAGAATAGTGATTATGACAGCAATGTTGATGAGTCTGGAGATGACACACCCTTCCCTGATGAAGGTGATGAGGAGGAGGAAGAGAATGTTGAACCTGATCTGATGAGGGAGCATGCTCCACCTCCCGTTAGACCAGGAGT